TATATATATATATAATAGTGATACCATGATTCTTCAATACGTGATAATAATTTGAAAATCTGAATTTCTGGTAAACAGTTACAATTAACCGAGAAAATACCAAATTAATGCTTTAAATACTGTATATCTTGGTTTTATTAGCCAGAATTATGTTGTTGTTGTTGTTTTCCTAAATATTATTACCATACTTTACGGTAATTAGACCAGAATGTTTTTCTCTATGCAGAAATGTTGCTCAAACCTGATCTAAAATAATGAAAAAAAGAGGGGGGAATTGAAAAAAAAAGTTATGATTATTCTACAAATATTTGGGTACTATTGTTTGATTTCAAGCATTTTTTGTGAAATTAAACAGCAGGTGCATATGAAGGAAACAATATCTTGCTTATTATGTAAAATATAGGGAAATAAAAAATCTCTTATTTCCTTCAATTTCAAATATTTCTTTTTCAATGTATCTTGTCAAAAAATTTCCTCTAACCTTTTATTTTATTAATACATTTAACATTAAATAAGAACAAAAGAAAAAGTAAACAATTTCTATTATAACCTAGTATTAACTCGAGGTCTGAACTGGATATTTTTCTAAAGTTGCTTTATTACAATGAAATCGTTGTAAAAAGATCATTATTTCAATTAAAAAAATTAAAGTACAAAATAGAAAATTATGATTTATGATTAATTTGTATGAGCGGTAATTCAAGATATAATGAATCATCCAAATGTAACGAACTCCCCTAAAAGAAAACGTGATATATTTATTTTTTATAATTAGGTCTATGCAATACTTATATTCGACGCTAAATTCCTTTTTGTCTAAAATCATATGTAAATGATTAAAAAAATTCAATTTGCGAAATAATTACTTTTTGTGAACGTTATCATAGAAAGGATTCATTTTTTTAACAGTAAGATAGTAAAAGAAAGTAATACACTCAACATTTGAAACGCCCTAGAAATTTTTCAAGTGTAACAAACCGTTCATAGTTTCAACAAAATTATTAATTTCTATCTTATATTTCTGGATGGAGAAAATTTCGTGTGTGAATTCCAAACTAAGAAATAAAAATGAATCTTTATTGATATTTCTTTAGGCAGAATTTGCGGAAAATTACAATTACGTGTTTCGCACGGAGAAAAAAATTCTAATAAAATTACCGTAATGTATAGTAATGACATTTTTGGTAAAAAAAAAAAATTTTTTTGATTAATAAAGCTGAAATGTACGGGATTTTAAACCATTCATTTGGTAGTTTTTCCATCCAAATGTTAACAGTTAACCAGAAATTCTGGTTTTTCACAAATTCTTGCCCTATAAAATTAACATTTCTGGTTTAAAAAAAAAATAAATAAATAAATAAAATTTAAAAAAAACATACTTCTAGTAATAAAAACCGAAATATACGGTATTTAGATAATTCATTTGGAAATTTCTCCATTCAAATGGCAACGGTTTACCGGAAATTCTGGTTTTCAAAATTATAGTTCTCATCACTGCACAAAAAATATAAATCTGAAAAGTAAATTTAACCGAATATATGGTTTTTATGACATGCTCTAAGATATCAAGATCCAACTACCAAATTTTATTACATTTACCAAATTTTTCCAAATATTACAAAAACATACTCTATTGTTAATCTTACCAAAATCATTATTAAAGCACTTCGATAAAAATTACGGAGATTTCTGGTGTTCCCATAGAGCCAGAAGCACGGTAAATTTTACCATATTCTGGTAGTTTTGAGTTTCCCTATACTTTTTTTCTCAGTGCCGAAAAAGCTAATTTTCCTTCATCGAGAAGTTATTATCCTATTTGAATGCCTGAAGAAGAAAAGCTCGTTATTTTATTTTTTCTCTAAATAGTGCATTAAGTTTCAATAAAGATTCCTGTATTTCACTCCAATTTTGTATGCTTCAATGCGCAGCAATATTCTTTGGGTTGTTAAATGGGTAATCATTGTGAGTAGTTACGCTAATGAGACGTTGAAAACGCATACAAATAAGCTGTAAAAATTAAAATAACTTGCTTATAAATATTTAAAAAAAAAAAAAATTTTTTTCTGCCAAAATTCCAAGTTAGTAAAGCAAACTGCATTTCTCTATAATTTGTTGCACTACGAAAAATAAAAATTTTGCTTTTAATTTCAAATGTGGAGAAAATCTTTGTCATTGAGTTATGCTTTATAGAAGCTGCTCTCGATTTTTAACTTATCAAATATTATCTACTTAGTCTTAAGTTTTCTCATTCTAATATTTTTCAGAACTTAATATGATAAAACTATGTTTCTTTGTGGGCATCAATATTTATTATTACATTCATAAACGACAAGGGGGGGGGGAGCTCTGAAAATTGATCCGTTTGACGTGGGTTAAACCTCAAATATGTTTAAAGGGTAAAATTTTTAAATAATTGTTATAATAAATAATTGTTAACTTACTCGTGAATTTCATCAATAGACTTTTGAAGATGTTGTTGAAATAAAAAGAAAAAATGAATTGTAAAATAAGATTAAAAATATTTTACACCATTGATAACTGATGAAAATATTAAATCTCTAACAGAGTAAAAAGATAGTGATCAAATATTAAAATAATTATAATATAGTTCCAAGCTCCAATAAAGTAATAATAGCTAAAAAATGAATAACACTTGGGAACAATTTTTTTTTCTTCTGCTACTGCATGAGAATTTTTAACAGATCTTAGATGCTTTTGTATCGCTAATTTCAAATCTGCTATCTCCAGGCTACTGATTTTTTTTAAATGACATTTCTAGTCTTTTTTTTTTGTTGAAATGAATAATTTTAAAAACGTTATATATAACAAAACACCGCATAAATGTTGTGACAAACTTCCAGGGGAGTTAGGGCACATCATTAGGATTAAAATTGCAAAGCATCCAATCCCCTAAAACTTCATCATACGCCGCTAGGGGAGCTTCCCCATTATGAGCTGTTTCTTCGTGTACCTCTGAACAGATCATAAAAGGGTAGTGTCCCTACGAGTCATATAAGGAACGACGTTTTTCGAGTATGGGTTCCTATGCAATTTTAATCCCGTTTTTGTGCCTTAACACCCTTAGAAGTTTACCAAAACATTTACGCGAAATCCTTTTATATATGACGTTTTTCAACTTGTAAATTCCGACAACAAATAGACATTAATTATCATTTTTTTTAAAAAATCTGTAGCTTTAAAAGCAAAACCAATTTTAAATTTGAAATCCGCATATCCGAATTAGGCGAGATCAAGTATTTGTACAACAAAAAATTTGTATCCCAGTGTACCAGTACATATCAAATTTTAACTATACCATGCAGATAAATAATTTATATCAATTTCAACCATTCTATCGTACTAATTACTAATTAGAATAGAAGTAAATGTGTAAATAGATAAAAGGTAAATGTATAATAGATTGCATAAATTTTTACATGATATGTAATTTCTTTCACAAAAACATGAAAGTTTGCTATGCTTGAAATACACAAAATAATGGAAGCATCAATCATTTATCTAAATTAGTGTGCATTTAAAACTGAATTGATAGAGCATAGTTCCGCAATTTTATCAATCAGATTGTTCTATTAAGATTTTTTTTCTTTTTATGCGTACTATATGGTCGGATAGAAATTAAGATAATTTCAACAGGTATTATGCCCTTAGAAACGTTTGCAACTCAAAAGTTCGATTGCCTGACTAGTAGAAATGAGAATTTAAGTTCCGATTTTTTCCCTTATTTAGTGAAATCAAGTCAGAAGATTCGCGTTTACTATTAAATACAGTTGTACTCGTCAGTATGGTCGGATTAACTTAATCTGATCGGATTAACTAATTTAACGGATCTACTTAAGCGCTAATATCGAAATAGAAATTAAAGTATGGAAACTATTTTACTATACAATTTATGATTTTAGATATTTTTTTAAAAATTAATTATGGGGTTGTTGAATAATTTTCTAAATAAAAAATTATATTTGTTGTGATAAAAAACTATTACCAATTTTTACTTAATTTTAATCCTTGTGGAATTTCGTATTGAAATGCGCATTAAAAATTTTGATTAATAAATTATAACTTGTCATTATTAACATGAAAATTAAAGAAAAGGAACATTAATAATTTTCATAATTAAAAGTGTGATATCATCTGATGAACGTGAAAAGGAAGAAGAAAGAAAGAACGAAAGTAGAAGGAAGTAAGGAAGAAAAAAGTAAGAAAGGAAGATGAAAGGAAAGGAGAAGAATGGAAAAGAATAAAAACAACTTTTTCAACCTTAACAGTCTTCTGGAAAAAATTGTTAAGTTTTAAATTTTCAGCTTTACAGGTGCCCCCCTCCCCCGAAAAAAAAGATGTACTAAAACAAGCCTAGTCTTCTTCTTCTTTAAATGCACCAAAGTCTACTAGAGGCCAGGGCTCTCACTGTAAGCTTAGGGCTTAAACTATTCTTTTATTTATTTATTTAAGATGTTTCATTTGATTACTCGTTGTCTCACAGCTCATAAATTTTCATTTTTCAAATTTTTTTCTGAATAGCTAAGCATTGTAAAAAATTTTCAGAACTTAATTAGTTATTACGACAAGAAGTTACGATTTAAAATAATTAACGCTATTACTTACATAGATTTTTGAGGTTATTAAATTCCTAAAAGACAAAAAGGAATAAATGAAATGTTAAAAAGTTACTTTTATTAACCCAAGATTAATTTCTTTTATATTTTTAAACAAAACATCAGAAGTGATATTATCCAGAACATCAAACATCACAGAAGAGGAAAAAGACCAAAATCCTCCTCATCATCTGAGAGTTTCTCCTTTTGGCTACATCTCTTCGCCGCCAGAAACACTCACCTGTGCCAAAACTGTCTGACGTCATCCCCCCTCCCATTGGCTGCATGTCACCGGGTGGGCGTGGTTGTAGCGGCGCTGGGACTCGGTCACAGAGATAACCTATCAATCAAGATTTGTTTGAGATATTATGGGGAGAAAGAGAGAGACCGCCGTGCAGGGGGAGGGCCAGCATATGACCCCCCATTTTCGAACGAAAATGAAGAGAACTCCGCGCAGTAGCATGTCAGTTTAGAGTTTGCTGTCCACAGAATAGGAACTATGTGATGTGCGCCCTGAGAGGGGAATTTGTGTAAATAAACGCCCTGGGAAAAGCCCCATCAATTTTTTTGTTGTGATTTTTTTGGATTTGTTTCTTTTTGCGTCTAATTTCACATTATCTATAAAGGATTAATTGTGACACAAGGTGATGGTTTTGTTTATGCTGGGGCCTATGGTGGCCGGAGTGTCGTAAAGCGGCGGCGGCTAGGCTTGGGCCTGGGGGCCGCCCCTTACTTTAATGTGCAGCCCGTTGGAGAGGCCGCCCCTGTGCATCATGAACCACCTGAGTACTATGTACGCTACCAAAAGAAGAAGACGAAATAGCAAAAGGTAGACTATTTTTTATTTATTTAATCATTTTAATACAATACAAAAAGGTAAAATAAATAAAAGTAAATTATGAAAAAAATTGTATTGTGATAAAATTGAGGAATTTTTCTGTAAGAGATTTTTGTTAAATATATCTATAGAATTTATAACGATAAGCTACTAAAGTGAAGTTTTAGTATGTTCCAGGAATATTCTTTAAATTCCATAAAACATGTTTTTGAAACATATTTTACAGTAGCGGGAATAACAGTACTAAATAGAGAATATTTAGAAGAAAAAATTTTTTTAATCTATATTGTCAATAAGCGTTTTCTCTTGAATAATTTGCGGTATGGTAAAAATAAATCTGTTTCAAATTTAATTTATGCAAAATGACTTAAAATCCAAATCATACGCCATTTCTTTTATTTAAGTTAAAATGAATTTTCAAAAACTTTGTGCATTTCTCAGAATAATTTAAAATTTGCAAGGTTGTTAATTTAAGCAAACATAATTCTCTGTATTTCCAGCAAAATTTATTACTATTATTTATATCAACATCTTGGAATTTCAATATTAATATTCTTCAATATCTTGGAATTTTACTTTAAAGAAAGATCGAAATCGTTAATGAATATAAAAAATTGAATTTATTATTATTTTCTAATAAATCAATTGATTAAAATTATGTCTTCATTTCATGAGAAGCTTGCTACATTTTTTTGGAATTTCACACTAAAGAAAGAGTGATTATTAAAATGATACATTGAACTTATTATTGTTATAAATAATATAAGATTATGAAACAAGATAAAATATTATTACATTAGATGACGATTGCTATATTGATTCTAGGATTAAAATTATCATCAATTCTTAAAGCGATAACAATCCTTTTTTTTTTTTTTTTNTTTTTTTTTTTTTTTTTTTTTTTTTTTTTTTTTTTTTTTTTTGTATTCTTTAATTCGAAACTGTCAACAATGCTTCTTGAAAACAGCTGTTAACATTGTAACTTATGCTTTTATGTTATTCTTTAGCATGCTATTTTTATGTTTAAAAGTTAATCAATTTAAAATATCGGGGAAAAACTCGTCATTTCGATCACATATGAAATTTTACATTAGAATAATATTTATACAGTAATACACATTAGACTAGATTATTTATAAGATTAATTATTTTAAACGGGTTTTGTATGAATTAGATGATTTTTTTTAAGTATTAGTTTATTTATGCATGCAAACCAGATTGAAAAATTTATGTTTTCAATTAAATATAAAATATTAGATTTTTTAAAATTATTTATTTATTTATTTTTAAATATAGATTCTGTGAGGAATATAAGCTGAGTGGTTTTTAATTAAAATAAATTAATTTTGGATAGCTACTAGGTAGAATAAAAGTCAAATGGTCTTAAATTTTATGTTTTAGAACAAGAAAAACAATAATTTAATATTTTTAGGCAGAGATGGATGTATTCTCCTCGCCTATTTTGGAATGCTGTTCATGTAAAAGAGAACTAAATTTATAAAATGATTACTATTTATAACTTTTCTGAAGAGCTTAAGGACAAACTTATAAAAAAAAATCAATATTAATTTATTTTCTTTTTTCACTAGAGGAGCTCATGTAATTGAACTACTAGTAAATAATTTAATAAAGATTTAAACTTAAAGCACAGTGTGTTTTTAAAAATCATTATAGCTGAATAAACAATAAAATAGATTTTGGATTCAATAGACAATTAAATAGACAAATTCTAGCTCTTCTTACTTCTCTAAGTAGGTAATTTTTTTTTAAATTTAAAAACATAAAATTTAAATTTATTCAGTATAATTTCCAGAGTTGAAATCACTTCTTCTGTACTGTTAGTGTGCATTGAAAAATACTTTTTTAAAAACTAAATAACAGTTAATTAGGAGAGTTTAATTGCTGTTTTTCCTCATAAAAAATACATGAAATAAATTTACTCTTTTTTAGAAGGAGAATTAAAAAGTTGCTAATGCACACTGAAAATATTCCTTAAAAATTCAATAACTACTAACTAGGAGAGTATTTAAAAAATTGCTAATGCTCATTAAAAAATCTACCATGCAAATTCAATCAAAAAGTAAAGTAATTGTTGATTCGCATTAAGAGCATTCCTTAAGAATTATAGAAATTTTAAGTAGGAGAAGAATTGAAAAAAGTTTAATTCACATTAAAAATGATCCCTAACATTTTAATAGCTACTATTGCACGCTAAATATATCCCTTAATTAAAAAATGGTTAATGCCCATTAAAATATATCTTTATTAAAGAAACATTAATGCTCATTAAAAATATCTCTTAATTAAAGAAAGGTTAAGGCACATTAAAAATATCCCATAAGAATTAAATAACTGTCCGTTAGGAGGAGAATTAAATAACTGTAACATTCAAGTTAAAAAATATCCCTTAATAATGGAATTTACTGTTACTTAGAAAGAAAATTAAATAATTGTCAATGCACACAAAAAATATACCACAGAAATTCAATAAAGGAAGAGAAATAAACAATTGTTAATTCAACTGAGAGAATTCCTTAAGAATCAGGAGGGGAAATTAAAAATTTTAATCCACATTAAAAATATTCCTTAAGAATAAAATAACTGCTTATTAGGAAGAAAATGAAATAACTGTTAAATGCAAATGAAAAAAATATTCCTTAGGAATTAAATTGACTGTAAATCGAAAGAGAATTAAATAGTTGTTAATGCGTACTAGAAATAACTATCAGTTAACTGGGAGGATATTGAAGTAATTGTTAATGTACTCTAGAATACGCACAAGAAAAAAATATTGAAGAGGCGATTTAATTAATTGTTAATGCACAGTAAAAAAAATCCTTTAAGGTTTAAGTAACAGTTATTTAAGAGGAGAACTAAATTACTGTTACATGCAAGTTAAAAAATATCTCTTAAGAATTAAAAAGACTATTTATTAGGTATTAACCAAAAAAAAACACAATATTTTTTTGTTTAAAACGTTGTTGAGTTCATATAAAAAGGTTTAAAGGCTTGTAAACTTCCATCAGAAATGCATATTAAAATTCATGCCGAGTTATGTTTGTTTAAAATTAATACTTGCTTCATAAATTAGTATTTTCAAACCCTCAATGCGGATAATTCCTCTAAATCTGTTAATCATTTGCTTAAAAGAAGCAGCTGCTCTTTTTAAAGCTTTAGTTAATTTATATTCCATCCACGTAGTCGGTTTTAAGACTGTCTTTACATGTCTTAAATAAGTTCGTGATAAGATTTTGCTCTCAATTTCCTTTCATTTACACAATTTCTTTCGATGAGTTATAACTGGCATTTTTTTTGACAATAAATGCTGTTTTATGGAGAATGATTAATCAGTTTAAATTAATGATAATCACCGATTAAATATAAAATAGAAACAGTAGTTATTAAACCACTATATGACATCGAAAAACTGCGTTGTCATATATTTAAACTTTAGTTGTGCTCATTTAATTGATTACTACCGATTTAATTTAACGCAACTGGTAGTTTTAAGTTGAAAGTTTAGTAAAAATATGTACTTACATTTATTTCTGTTCATTTTTACGTTTAATATAATTTTAAAACATCAAATAACCTATAGCGTAATTGTTTTATAAGGCAGTATTGAATAGAAAACCAACATATTTCAATTGAAAATGGGTTTTAGGCGAGTAACCTTCTTATATCAGTAATGTCAAGAACACTTTTTTTAAGAAAAAGCGTGTTATTTAATCCCCCATCTTTATTTTCAGTTGCCATCTTAATATTTCAAAGAAACTCAAAAACTGCACTGTAACAAATTCTGGATCAAATTACAATAAAAAGTACTTGCACTCCAGGTGCATCATTGATAAAATCCATTTTTGCCATATTTTATACCGTAATTTTTGCAGTATTATTTAATTACAGTGATTTTTACAGAAAATATTACTGTAAAAAACTTGTACTGCAAAAATGGTTTTACGGTAAAACGTACTATCAATCTGAGTCCTGTTACCTTTCACCAAGATTTCATCCGGAATTTTTTACAGTGTATAGCAGTTTCATAATCTCGAATTCCCACTTTATATTTGTATCTTGATTAGTTTTTGAGAACTGTTAAAGTTTTCACAGCAATCGCATATAAAGAACAAATGATGGGTCGTATAGATGTCGGGCAGTTGTCATTTTTTCCCCCAATCACTCAATTTTTGAGCAGCATTTTTTTAAAGCGACTAATTTCTTGATGTAAAGAACACGTCAAAATTTTCCACAAACAGCCTTTTTCAGACTCATTAATTAAATTCTAATATTATCTAAGACACAGTCGTGAAGAAACTTAAAGTATTGATGAAAAAAATAATTAACAAAACTGCATTAAGAAATTGCTAGAGATGTTTTTAACTAGAAGGATTGACAAGTTTGAGTGTCAACTTTTTATGTTTAACCGTAATCTATTAAATTATAATAACTTTGTAATTTTAACTGCGAAATACTGCTAAGTTACCTTAAATAAGTTTTAAGAAAATTTACCAAGGGATTTGAGTTTTTTCTTCAGAGAACTAAAAAATATTATCAATATCTAAAAATTTTTTCAATTTTTAGGAATGAAGACATTTTTTTCCTGCTTAATTTTTGAAATAGGGAGTTTTTTTAAAAGTCAATGCTGGGAAAGTGAAATAAATAACATAGTATACAAATTTTAATAAAAATTGGGAGAATGAAACAAATAATAAGGCATTTATTTTTTATTCAAACAGAACTTAGATGTCAATTATCCCAGAAATTTGAGGAAACTATTCCTCAAGAATTGTTGATTTAAATAAAAGTTCCCTAGTTAAAAAACAGTATAGCCCTAATTACCCTTAATTCTAGTTCTATATTATATAGTTCTATACTAATTGTCTATATTAAATCGTTTACTAAATGATCTCTAAAAGCAACAGAATAAACGAACTTAAAGGCATTTAATTTGAAAAAGCTCTATTTTGATACAAACAAACTGGACATACAAT